CGCCGAAGGCGATCATTTTGACCGCTTTCCAATTTTAAGTACAAAAGCAACTGTGCATTTAATGACACTTTTTTTTAAATTTGGTGAATTTTTTATAATAAACGTAATTCTATGAGGTACAAAAAGTCACCATATTTTAAAAAAAAGTGTCATTAAATGCACAGTTGCTCTTGTACTTGAAATTGGAAAGCGGTCAAAATGACTGCCTTCGGCGTTCTAGTGTTAATTACTTTTCCCCAACGAAGTGGCTGTAATTTGGATTTTCGGGCTCTTAGAAAATAAAAATATGCATGGAAGAGATCTTTCCAAGGGGTAAAAATTTGAGATTCTTCGTGGAGTCAATCGGGTTTTATAGATGCGAATCTTAAGTTACAGGTAGGTGTATTGGTATCACCCGAACTTTTATTTATTATATTTTTTGTACCCTCCACCATAGTATGGAGGGTATATTAATTTTGTCATTTCGTTTGTAACTCATCGAAATATAATTTTCCGAACCTATAAAGTATATATATATATTCTTGATCAGGGTAAAATTCTAAGACGATCTAGCAATGTCCGTCTTTTTGTTGTAATCACTCTAGCCTCTAAACGAATTGAGATAGATCGCCAAAATTTTGCATAGGGGCGTCTTCTGTCTGCATGCAGGTCAAGTTCGAAGATGGGATATATCGGTCCACGTTTATGTATAGCTCCCATATAAGGGTACCCCGCAATTTTCGGTATTTTTGGGGCTCTTGAGCTCGTTTTTCAACCGAATTCGCTGAAATTTAGTACATTGGGTTCGTATTGGGTACTAAATGTCTTCACAAAAAATGATAAATATAGGTCGACTTTTCTGGTAGTCCCCATATAACGGTACCTCCTAATTTTCAGTATTTTTTTTGGGGGGGGGGGGGTGGTTTGATCCACAAAAAATTATGAATATAGGTCCATTTTTTCGGGTAGCCCCCATATAAGGGTAAACCCAATTTTCGGTATTTTGGGGGTTCTTGAGCCTGTTATTCAACCGAATTCGCTGCAATTTGGTATTTTATAGTCGTCATATGGTAACAAATCTCCCTACCAAAAATTAATAATATTCGCCCCCCTTTTTGGCGTAGTCCCCATATAACCCCCTTGTTTTTTTAAAATAGTTATCTGATTAGTTCCGCGTTTTGGGTTTGGTTCTAAGACTCTGTGGTAATCATTTCACCTGCGGAGGATATCGAGATAAAAAAAAACTAGAACGTAAGGTTCGACAATGAACTATATATGAACTATAGCACGGATTTAGGCCTAGGCCTAGACCCTTTGTTGGGTTACCAGAAGGAATGGACAGATATTCCCCATCTTCGAACTTGAACTAAGTTTAAAAAAAAATACTAAGATAGGCAAAGTTTGGATGAAATCAAAGTTTTCTGAAACGGATTTGGTCCAAAGAAACATGGGTCTAGAACCAATATTTCGATGAGGCACATTTTCACCGTGTCAAAGTGTATACACACTCATTAGCCATAAAGCTGAGAGCATAAATATCCATTCTGAAATTTGTATTTGGTGTACATTATGGTTAGGTTTGTAGAAATGTATGTTCCTCATATTTTCAATTCGAGTACCTCGAGTCAGGGTATCCAAAGTTAACGCTTTAAGTTCGGCCCGACACTTTTGTTTTTAATTAAAAAAAAAAAAATCATATTTTATATTGTTTTGGTTTTATTATTATTATTTCTTTTCAGTCCATAACCTCACCTTTTTAAATTAAAAATATTGTTACGAATATAACTTTAGATTTAAGTTCATTTAGATGAATTCCGTTAATTTAAGAATTTGAATTGTAACGTAAATTTCTACTACGCAGTTTATTTGAATAACTTCACAACAACAACCACTGTATAGATTTTTCTACATCCTTCCATTTCCTCTTTCATTTTCTATTTTGTTATTGTCGTACAATTCTTGTTAAACGTCATTCCTCTTTCTTTGTTATTCCCTCGCCTGTATATGTGTTGTTGTTATCCCTCTCTCTTTGTTATTCCCTCGCCTGTATATGTGTTGTTGTTATTGTAAGTTTGTTTACTCAAGTTTGTTGTTGTTATTGTTCACTCAGTAAGTTTGTTGTTGTTATTGTTACTCAATGTGTTTGTTGCATTGGTAGATTGTTCGTGATCTAGGTGTTACCAGATCGTCTAGAAACTTCTGTAGCGACAGGCAGGGCTCATATAAATAGAGGGAATGGAAAGGCAGTGAGTCAGTTGTGAATCAGATCGCGAATTGAAACCGTCGTGTAAAGTAAAGTGCAAAGTAAAGTTGTGTGAATAAAATCATTGTAATAATCGTAATCCGAAAGAACCTGCGTTTTATTTGGTACGCATTGTATCGGGAAATAAAACAACGTCTACACGGGATTTAGTAAAACCCAAGAACGTAACAATATATATATATATATTCAAAATAATGCTTCGCCTCACTTTAATATATGCCCCATAATACTAACCTGCATATTTTTTATTCACAATTTTGTTTATTTTTATATTATTTTTTCATCTTAACCTCACATTTTTATAAATAAAAAAAAAAAACAATTTTCAAAAGCCGTTTATCAATAAACTAACCTATCTTTTTATACCCTACACATCTATGTTGTCAGGGTATTATAGCTTTTGTGCAGCCCCAAAAGTTTGTAACACCGCGAAATATTGGTCCTAGACCCTAATTTAAGTATACCGATCGTCATATCTCGACTAGCTGAGTCAATCTAGACATGTGTGTCCGTCCGTCCATTATAATTTGTAAACACGATCAAGGCCACAGTTATGGCCAATGAAGACCCCTATTGTTTTTGGGAAAGATCGGTTAATATTTAGGGGGTGAAATGGGCCAAATTCTAAATTTTTGTCGGTTTTTCTGGTTGCTCCAGAGGCCGCAATAATGGCCCGAACATCGTGAAATTTTGCATGGAGAAGGGGGTCGGGCCAAAGAATAAGCATGCCTGTTTTGATAAAGATCGGTTAATATTTAGCGGGTCAAATGGACCCTGACTTTTGTGTGAAAAATTACAAAATTTTTATTCTATGGCGTATATATGTATTTACTCCTGAATGACATAGACCCGAGAAGTTGATATTATTTCCAAGAGGAGTGGTTGACCTTTAAATTAATACCAATTATATTGTTGTATGTGCTCGGATGTGGTAGTTACACCTAAATATTTACAGGTATCTCCGTAATTCGTATATTATTTAGTAACCCATTATCACTCTAGAGAGCGGAACTATAGCGCTGATTGCTTTGAAATGTTCCCTGATGTTCCAGTTATGGTCAAGGACAACGCCTATAATTTTCGGTGATGATCAGATAATAATTTTGGAATGAAGTGGACCGAAAACTTAATTTTTTGTGTTATTTTCGAGCCGATCTATAGACCACAAATGAAAGCCGAACATCACAACACAACCCACGGTGAAGGGAATCTGGACAATATTCGAAAATATATCAGTGCGATGAAGAGGTGCTGTTCACCTCACGAAATATTGCCCAGGCTCGGATTAAACATCCGCAGAAAATTTGAGTTTCGTGGTAGTTGTGTAGGGTATCATATGGTCGGTCCCGTCTGACTATACAGCTCTGATCACTGGTTCTTAAATATTTTAAAAATATATTTTCTAATCTCACTTTAAAACTATAAGAAATATGTTTGGTATTCCATCCCGCATTTTTTTTAAATTTTTCATACTAACCTCACATTTTTTAAATAAAATAATGAAATAATTTTCAAAACCATTTGGGATTTCAGAAAAAAACTTTAACTATATATTTATTTTGTTAATTTCCCTTTCGAGATGAGCTACATGATCGAAGTTGCAATGAAAAGGAAAGCCAGAGAGATACTACATTCCCACCATTATGCGACGCGTTTCGCCGTTGGTTAAGCGGCTTATATATAAAATATAATTATTCCATCCCACATCTTTTTCTATCCATTAGTTTCCATTTTTTTCTTTTTGATCCTAACCTCACATTTTATTATAGTATAATTTTTTTTTTCAAAACAAACTTGAAATATTTTTATTTGAGATTGTTTTATTTCATTATTATTATTTGGTTTCCAATCCATTTTGGCATTTCTTAGAAGATTGTCTATAACATAACCTCATTTTTTAAATAATTAAAAAAATCTTTTAAAAATATTTCCTAATCTTACTTTAATATACACATATCGTAATATTTGTATTTACTCCATAATACTTACTCACACATTTCTTTTATTCTTTATAGACCTTATTTTTAATTTTTGCCATTTTTTATTTTCACACTAACCTCACTTTTGTTTAATAAAATAAAAAAAAATCATTTTTTGAGCATTTAGGGATTTCATAAAAAACTTTCAATATTTTTATTTGAGATTATTCGGTTTCATATTTTGTTTCCATTTCCAATTATGGCATTTTGTCAATGCCAATTTGTTGCATTAAAAATAATAATAAAAAAATTATTTATAGGTTATGTTTAAGGCACACAATAATGACACAACATATTTTATATAACTAGTTTGTAATTAAGTAAGGGTTTTTAAGTTACAATGTAGTTTGAAAGAACTTATATTTAAGTTTTTCATTCGATTCTTTCACATACACAACTTATAAAGAATATTTTTTTTAAATAAAAAAATTATTATATATAAAAATATATTTGGCATTTATTATTATAAATAATTAAGTAATTGTTTGGCACTTGAATTTTTGGTTTGTTGGCTTATAAAATTTCTTTGGGTTTCTTATTTGGTTTTTTCTTCTTCTTAACATTAAGTATTCAAAACTAAAAAAAAATATTTACTGGGTACAAAAAAAAAAAAATAACCTTAAAATATATAATAAATCTCATTTATATATCCTATATATATTTAAAGAAAAATAAAATATTTAGCAATCTTTGGTTCCATAATTAAGTCATTTTGATTTTGAGTATTTGTTTTGTGTTTTTTTTTTCATATTCGAGTTACAGAAGATGACACTCTCGCATTAAGATTTCTTTTCATTATTTTTACTTGTTTCCATATTTTCGTCATCATCTTCTTCTACAACTTCTGCTCCTTCCTCATCACCGGAATTTGATTTATCTGCTGTCGACTTATTTAAATTCGCCGTTAATTTCACTTTCACAAAAGCATTGCCGTTGACCAATTTCGTTTCATTGGCCGCCTCTGACTTTTCCGGGTTTGGTGTTGACGCCCTCATGGGTGGAGCTGTTGGTGCTGCTGCATTGTGGTGTTGTGTACAACTTTTCTGCTGCGATTGTTGTGTTAAAGCCTCTATGGCCACCACTGTCCTTTCCAACAGATTCAATAATCGCTCCTCACGAGCATCCATACGTCGCAGTAATTCTTCATCGCGTTTTTCCCGCCTCTTCAGATATTCGATTAGTTCATAATTGGTACTATCACCGTCGGTAGATGTGGATAGTTTACGTTTTGTTTTCGGTGTCTGACCACTGCTACATTCGGTAAGATTATCTGTATCCACAATTACATCGGGATGTAGGATGTTGTGATCCATATTATTGGGATAGAAATTTTGTGATCTACCAAAAAGAAAAGAGAATAAAATCATTTATTAAATTTTAATTATTTAATTTATTTCAATAAAACAAATAAATAATTCCAAATTAATTAATATTTCCATTTAAAATCTTTAAAATCTTTAAAAAAAAGTCTCAAATCAAACCATTTCCCTATATAATGCAATGGATACGTTCAATACGCAAGTGCTACGTTACGTTACGTCTGCCTCGTTTACTAATTGTCGTACATTTGATGTACTGTCAAAGCAACTCTGTGTGTGAGTAAGGCAACGTAAAGTGGCTTGGTCACACATTAAATTTTCTTGTTATAAAATGCTTTTTTGAACATTTTATGGGAAATTACACATTTTGAAAGCAGAAAAGGTACATTTTCAGTAGATTAGGGGTACTCAAGTGTTAAATAAATTTAAATATAAACGAAGGACTTTAAAAATTATAAAAATAAAAAAACAAATAAGTAAAAACGTCATAAAAATGCCACCAATCGTTCGAGACCTCCGAAAATAGCGAGCTATGCCATAGTCAATTTTGGTGGGAAGATTTGACACACAACGAGAACCAAATAAAAGCCAATTCGCTTAGAAAAATCTGCAAAAAATCGGCAAAATATTAAATATTTGAGGATTCCGCTATATGGTAGCTGCCCTAAAAAGTCGGCCGATATTGATAATTTTTTGTAGGGACATTCGCTACCCAATGGGAACACATTGTACCAAATCACAGCCAATTCGGTTGAAAAATTTTCCCAAATCCCCTAAAATACTGAATTTTTGGCATACCCTTATATGAAGGCTACCCTCAAAAGTGAACCGATATCGCTAATTTTTGGCAGGAAGATGTGTCATCCAATGATAATTCGAAATACTAAATTAGAATCAATTCGGTTGAAGGATTTACCAAAATTCCCCAAAATACCGAATATTTGGGGTAGCGTTATATGGGGACTATCCTCAAAAGTGGACCGATATCAATAATTTTTGGTAGAAAGATTTGCTACCCAATGAGAACCCAAAGTACCAAATAACAGCCAATTCGATCAAGAAATGTGCCCAATATTCCCAAAATACCGAATAATGGGTGGTACCGTTATAAAAGGACTATCCTCAAAAGTGGACCGATATCGATAATTTTTGGTTGCGAGATATGTTATCCAATGAGAGTTTGAAATACCAAATTACAGCTAATTCGGTTGAAGAACGTCCAAGAATTTCCAAAAATACCGAATATTTGGGGTCGCGTTATGTGGGGCCTATCCTCAAAAGTGGACCGATATCCATAATTTTTGGTAGGGAGACGTGTCATCCAATGAGAATTCAAAATACCAAATTACAACCTATTCGGTTGAAAAACACTCCGAAACTCCTCAAAATACCGAATATTTGGGGAAGTGTTATATGGGGGCTATCTTCAAATGTGGACCGATACCGATAATTTTTGTTAAGGGGATTTGCTACCCAATGGGAACTCAAAGTGCCAAATCACAGTCAATTCGGTTGAAGAACGTGCAAAATATTCCCAAAATACCGAATAATGGGAAGTATCGCTATATGAAGGCTATCCTAAAAAGTAGGCCGAATTGGATCATTTTTGGTGGTGAGATTTGCTACCCAATGGGAAGTCATTGTACCAAATTACAGCCAATTCGGTTGAGGAACGTGGAAAAACTGTGCAAAATACCGAATAATGGGTAGTACGGTTATATGGGAGCCATGCTGAAAAGTAAACCGATATCCATAATTTTTGGTAGGGAGATTCCCTACCCACTGAGAATTCAAAATACTGAATTACAACCAATTTGATTGAAGACCTTTCAATAAATTCCCAAAATACCGAATAATGGGTGGTATCGTTATATGGGGACTATCCTAAAAAGTGGACCGATATCGATAATTTTCGGTAGGGAGATGTGTCATCCAATTCTAATTCGAAATACCAAATTACAGCCAATTCGGATAAAATATGTCCCCATAATCACCGAAATACCGAATAATTTCGGCTATACCAAAACATGGACCGATACCGATAATTTTTGGTAGGGAGATTTCCTACCCTCTGAGAACTCAATATACCAAATTACAGCCAATTTGGTTAAAAAAAGTGCCAAAAATCGCCAAAATACCGAATATTTAGGGGTACCTTCGCGGTATCTATTCGAAATTTTTAGGTGATTTTCCAAAATTTTAATACTATATTTTATTGTTTACTATAAACTTACCCATTATAATTCGTTTGCATCAGCTGTATATCATCGGGATTAAATTCACCATCCGACATTGGTTCCGATCTGTAAGAAGAATCACAATCATCACTTTTTACAATTAGTTCCATTTATTTTCCGCTCAAAGCTCCAAATAAACACACCCTCACACACAAATACTTACTTCATTGAGACGTTGTTGTTATCACTGGTCTGCAGATTCAGCGCCCCATTACAGTCTTTTTCATATTGTTGAGCCAGAGCCTCTTTTAGGTTATTGGCAGCGGCGGCAGCAACAGCAGCTGCTGCCACACCACCACTTAGATGAGCTTGCAGGAGATTATGGGCAGCATTTTCGGGTAAATCAGCTGAGATGTTATGTGAAACATCGTGGGGATCTTTGCGTGACATTTGCAGGGGTAGAGGTGAGGGAGATTCATCATAGACACTGCCATTGGTACCGTTAATATCGGCGCTACCACCAGTACCATTACTACTGCCACCTCTGTCCCCGCCACTACCATTCATGGTGTTGTTGTTGCAGCTGCTATCATTACCCAATTGAGCCTCGACAAAATGATTGGGTAGGAAACGTTCCAATTTCGAATTCGAGTTCGAATCATTGGAATGAACAGCTGCCAGACTTTGTAGGAGATTATGTTGGGCCACCACTGCCGCCTGAGTTTGTTTATCCAAGAGAGCACCAAACTCTGCTGCCTGGCGTCTCCGATGATAATACGATAGTTCATCTTGATTTTTGGCCAACAACGCAATCCGTTTACTGTTCGAACCCCAACATTCACCCCGCTGTTCTTCGATTTCCTTAAACAGAAACATATATGGCCAATTGCGACGTACATGACGTTCGGGATTCTTTTTCAGCTGCGTATAGATTTTCTTTAGATTCTCATAACGATTACAACACTGTTTGGCCGATCGCTTACGGGCACTATAACGATTCAGAACTTCGGCAACCATTTCCCAAACACTGGCATGATTTTTACGATTCGATTGAAATGCACTTTGTATCCGTTCGGATTTGACAATATTTAGCAGGGCTATGGATTCGGGAACATTGAAATAACTTTCGGGAGTGCGTGGCGCCCGATGATGGTGATAGGAATTTATGGAGGTTTTTGTTTCCTGAAAGGGAGAGAGCGGGGTTGTGATTAGTATTTGAAAAAATATTAATGTTGAAATTTGAACTCACTGTTTCGGAATTATTTTGTTGATTTTCATCTTCTGCAGAGTGGTTCATGGCATTGTTCTGTAATCTCTCAGGTTTTACAATATTTATTAGGGATATTGAATCTGGTACATTGAAAAAATTCTCAGCTGCTCGGGTATTGTGATGATGCTGGTAAGCATTTGTGGCCGTTTCGGTATTCTGAAAAAGAGTGGAGAGAAAATCAAAAATTAATTATAATTCCCCAAAACACAATGAAATCTTTTCATGATGCTTTATTTTTGATTCCACGCAAAGAAGTCAATGAAGGAATTGCCTTCAAAAATAATCAAACATTAATATTAGAATTAATTAAGCGCAAAGATTTCATTGTGTTTCGGGGATTTTACCAAAACATAATGAAATGAAGATTTCATTGTTTTTTGGGAATTTTACCAAAACACAACGAAATCTTTGCGTTTAGCTTTATTTTACATTTCATTCCTAGAAGTCAATGAAGAAATTGCTTTCAAAAATAATCAAATAGTGTTGTAAAGAAAATTTAAGATTCTCATCTAATCTCAACGAACTTCATCGGGACTTTAAATACCCCAGACATAATAAAACCTTTGCTTGGCGGCGTTGCTTAACTCTTTACTAACATTAAAACTTTAGAAATGCTTTATTTTTGGCCTAGAAATTCTTAAATATGTTTAATAAATATTATGCGGCATTTAACAGGTGCAAACTTCCGTTTTTAAAAAATCCCAGAAAATCCCCAAAAATTTTAGAAAATTGCCCCAAAAACGGTATAAAAAAGACAAATCTTCAAAAATAATTCAATTAGGTTCTAAAAAAGTTTTAAGATTCTCAATAATATCATTGAATTTTACCCAGAACCGTGGTGAGTTTCTTTAAATTCTCCAGACAGAATAAAATCTTTGCGGCTTGGCTTAACTCTTTTTTTTAAGAACTTCTTAAATATGCTTAATAAATATTATGCGTCACTTATCGATGTACTATATAGGTGCATACTTAAATTTTCAATAATCCCAGAAAATCCCCTAATTGCAGGAAATTGCCCTAGATCAGAGTAAAACAAGAAATTAGCAAAGCAATAATTTCAATACTAAAATTTTAGGTTTCGGGGAAGAATTGCGATACAGATACTTTGAAAACATAATAAAAACTTTGTGGCTTGCCTATATTTGTTACTTTGCAGAAATGCTGCACCAGAACCGTGGTGAGTTTTTTTTAAATTCCCCAGACAGAATAAAATCTTTGTCGCATGGCTTAACTCTTCTTTTTTTCAAGAAATTCTTAATTTTTCGGCCTAGAGATTCTTAAATATGCTTAATAAATATTAAGCGTCACTTATCCATGTACTATAAGGGTGAGCAATTCAATAATCAATAGAAATCAATAATCCCAGAAAATCCCTTGATTGCACAAAATTGCCTTAGACTAGAGTAAAACAGGAAATCAGCAAAGCAATATTTTCATATACCAAAATATCGGGGTTCGGGGAAGAATTTCGAGACAGATACATTGAAAACATAATAAAAGCTTTGCGGCTTGGCTTTATTTGTTACTTTGCAGAAATGCAAAATCTGGGGTTATAAACCTTAAATTTACATAGTAAATTTTATTCGGGGATAATTACGTGAATTTTTGAAGCACTAAAATGTTGGGTACTACAATTTTTTAATAATCCCAGAAAATCCCCAAATTGTAAAAAATGCTCCCAGAGCGGTATATGATTCATAATCAATAAAATAATGACATCTATAATGATGAGAATGGGATTTCTATACGATTTCCCATAATATAATGGATCGTAATTTTATTTTTAAATAATCCCAGAAAATCCCCAATGTTAAGAAAAATTGATCTAGAACAGAATTTGATAAGAAATCAGAATTGATCGGCCTTCTATGCAATTTTTGAGGCACTGTAATGTTTCCATTGCTTTAATAATATAATTTTTTCTATTTTTTAATAATCCCAGAAAATCCCCAAAATGTAAAAAATTTGCCCCAGAACGGTATATGACTTGTAATCACTAAAATAATGACATCTGTAATGATGAGAATGGGATTCTTATACGATTTCCCATTATAAAATGGCTGGTAATTTTATTTTTAAATAATTCCAGAAAATCCCCAATGTTAAGAAAAATTCATCTAGAAGAGACTTTGAGTCGGAATCAGAATTTATCGATCGATTTTCGATCCACTATAATGCTTCCATTGCTTTAATAATCCCATTTTTCCATTTTGTTAATAATCCCAGAAAATCCCCAAAATGTAAAAAATTGTCCCCAGAAAAGTATACGACTAGAAATCAATATAGTTCAGACCTCTATAGTTATTAAATTGGGTTTCCTATGCGATTTTCGACAATATAATGACTCATACATCCTATTTAAAAAATCCCAGAAAATCTCCAAAATGTAGAAAATTGCCCCAAGAACAGTATTTGACGAAAAGTCAACATCAACCGGACTTCTGGGCGATTTGTGATGCCAACTTTAAAACAATCCCATTTTTTAATAATGCCATTTTCCCATTTTTTATAAATTCCAGAAAATCCCCAAAATGTAAAAAAAATTTCCCCAGAACTATTAATAAAAAAATCGACCTCTACAATTATTAAATCGAATTTGTAATGCGATTTTCGATCAAATTATGGAATATAGCTTCATTTTTTTAATAATCCCAGAAAATCCCCAAAAGTAAAATATTTCCCCAGAACAGTATATGACTAGTAATCTATAAAATAATGACCACTGCGATTATTAAATTAAATTTCTTATGCGATTTTCGATCACATTATGGGATACACCTTCAATTTTTAACAATCCCAGAAAATCCCCAAATTTAATAACATTTGCTCTGGAGCATAATTTGACTAGATATCAACATTGATCGGTCTTCTAGGCGATTATTGAGGTACTATAATGCTTCCGTTGCTTTAATAATCCCATTTTTCAATAATCCCAGAAAATCCCCAAAATGGGGAAAAAATGCCCTCGAGCAGTATACGACTAGTAATCTATTAAATAATGGCCTCTATAATTTTTAAATTAGATTTCTTAAGCTAATTCCGATCATATTATGGAATACACTTTCATTTTTTAAAAATCCCAGAAAATCCCCAAGTTTAAGAAAATTTGCTATACAACAGAATTCGACTAGAAATCAACATTGATCGGCCTTCTAAGTGATTTTCGATGCACTGTAATACTTACATTGCCTTTATAATACTATTTTTTGATTTTTTAATAATACCAGAAAAATCTCAAAAAGTTGGAAATTGTGCCCAGAACAGTGTATGACTTGTAATAAATTTGACGAAAAATCACCATCAACCCGGCCTTCTGGGCGATTTGTGATACACTTTAAAACAATCCCATTTTTTAATAATGCCATTTTCCCATTTTTTTTGATAATCCCAGAAAATCCCCAAAGTGTAAAATATTTCCCCACCACCGTATGTGACTAGTAATCTATAAAACAATGACCTCTGCGATTATTAAATTAAATTTCTTATGCGATTACCGATCATATTATGGCATACGCCTTCATTTCTTAATAATCCCAGAAAATCCCCAAGGTTAAGAAAATGTGTTCTAGAACCGAATTTGATTAGAAATCAACATTTATCGGCCTTCTAGGCGATTTTTGAGGCACTATAATGCTTCCATTGCTTTAATAATACCAATTTTCCCATTTTTTAATAATCCCAGAAAATCCCCAAAATGTAAAAAATTGTCCCCAGAACAGTGTATGACTAATAATTAGTAAAATAATGACCTCTAAAATTATTAAATTGAATTTCTTATTCGATTTTCGACAATATAATGACTCATGCATCATATTTAAAAAAAAAATCCCAGAAAATCCCCAAAATGGTGAAAATTGCCATTGAACAGTATTTGACGAAAAATGAACATCAACCGGCCTTCTAGGCGATTTGTGATGCACTTTTTAACAATCCCTATTTTTAATAATCCCATTTTTCAATTTTTTTATAAATCCCAAAAAATCCCAAAAATGTAAAAAATGCCCCTGTACAGCATACGACTAGTAATCAATAAAATAATGACCTCTATAACTATTAAATTGACTTTTTTATTCGATATACGGTCATATTATGACATATACGTTCATTTTTTAATAATCCCAGAAAATCCCCAAATCTAAGAAAATTTGCTGTAGAACAGAATTTTATTACAAATCAACATTAATCGACCTTCTAGGCGATTTTTGAGGCACTATAATGCTTCCATGGCTTTAATAATGCCAATTTTCCCATTTTTTGATAATCCCAGAAAATACCCAAAATGCAAAAGAATTGTCCCCAGAATCGTATATGGCCAATAATCAGTAAAAAAAAACAATTAAATTCGATTTTTATGCAATTTTTGATTATATAATGACTTATTTTTCTAATTTTTAATAATCCCAGAAAATCCCCAGGTTTAATAAAATTGTCTCCAGAGCAGAATTCGGTTAAAAATCAATATGGATCGTTGGACTAGAAAGCACAATGGACCTTCAAGGCAATTTTCTACACACCAAAAATGTTGGACACTCCCATTTTTATAAATCCCAGAAAATCCCCAAAATGTAAAAAACATACCCGAGTACAATATACGACTAGGAATCAATAGAATATAATCTCTGTAATTATTACGTTGGATTTCTTATGCCATTTTCGATTTTATAATGACACATACTTCATGTTTGAAATAATCCCAGAAAATCCCCATATTTAAAAAAAAAAAAAAATTCTCCCATAACAGTATTTGATTAGAAATAAGCATTAATCGAACTTCTGGGAGATTTTTGGATGTACTATAATAGTTTCATTGCTTTAATAATCCCATTTTTCCATTTTTTTAATAATCCCAGAAAATCCCTAAAATGTAAATAAATTACCCTAAAACAGTATACAGCTAGCAATCAATAAATTGATGACCTCTATAATTATTAAATTCAATTTCTAATGCGATTTTCGATCATATTATGGCATATAGCTTCATTTTTTAATAATCCCAGAAAATCCCCAATGTTAAGAAAATTTGTTCTAGAACAGAATATGACTAGAAATCAAAATTTATCGGTCTTCTAGGCGATTTTTGAGGCACTGTTAAGATTTCCATTGCTTTAATAATCCCATTTTTTCCATTTTTTTGATAATCCCAGAAAATCC